TTTTTTTTTTTTTTTTTTTTTGTCTCAGGTCCGGGATAAGAAACTCCTCAATGACTTAAATGGAGCAGTCGAAGATGCCAAGACAGCCCGGCTTTTTAACATCACGAGCTCAGCCCTTGCCACCTTCTGTATCATACTTATCTTCATCTTCCTGCGATACCCCCTCACTGACTACTAGAGTGAGGCCAACAGCAGTGGCCGCCGCCAAAATGCCTCTATGCCAGAAGTGTCTGCAGTTGTTTCTTGTAGCAAGGACACAAAAAAAAAAACCAAAACACTCCACCTTGATTGGAAAAAAAAAAGCCAATTAAATACATAAAGAAAAATTAAATGAGTTGATCAGCCCAGCTGAGCATACCCTTCCTGCCCCCAAACAGTTTGTGAACTGCTGTAGGAAAGGGTTTCACTCTTACACATGTACAGGGAGAAAAACAGACCAAGAAATATTTATTTTATGGCCAACAAGCCGTGTGACAAGAGCATGCAAAGCCGAGAGCGACGCATGCCTGGCAGCAGAAAGCTGAGCTCTGGGGAGCAGTGCGGTCCTGCCGAGCGGGAGGTGTGTGCAGTGATGGATGGCAACCATGGTACAGCTGGCTCACAACATATCAAACGTGTTCAGAGCGCCCCACCACCTCCCAGCGTACAGGGGTTTCTTTTCCTTTTCCTCTCTTGAGTTTTATCCATTGGTTCAAACAACTCCCAACCTCTGGAGAGCTGTGGGTGTTAGGAAGTTTGTGCTAGGGAGCCCCAAATCCTCCAGAGAAACCCCAAAGCGTTAAAGGGCAGGTTTCTCCTCAGGATCTCCCGGCAATGCTGAGAAGGAAGGCACCTTCTGGAGAACTCACCTAAGCCCCCTAAACCGAGTGCTACTGTATTTCTGTAAACGGTCAATAAAGATACCTCTGATATCTGAAGCTGCTGGGTTAATTCCTTCCTTAGGAGGGCCGGGCTCCTGGTCCCTACAGGCCGGCAAGGGAAAATGCTAATGTCGCCAGCGGCTGCTTGGGAGAGATTTAAAGCTGGAGTGAGGGATGCTGCTGCAGGTCAGGGCCGCACGCAGCCATAAAAGAGGGTGCAGATTTAAGAGCAGAGACCTCAACGACTCCCATGATGGTTGATCAATCACAAGCAAGCAAATGCAGCTGAGCAGGCAGGTCCCTCCTCCCCTGGTAGGACCAACGTTGAAAATAGAAATAAATCGCTGCAGTCTGAACCTGCTGCTACTGCAGCACTTCCCGGGGTCGTTACCAAGAGCCAGATTTCGAAGACACCGCGCATTTGCCGCTGAACGAAGCAGGAGCTCAGAGCCCTTCCCGATAGCTGCCTGCAACTGCCTGTGGTGCTGCAAATCAACACACCCTGACTTGAAAACACCACAAACGAATGGCAAGACCGGGACTAAAACACAGCTTTTCGGCCCCTCTGACCCTTCATCTCATCTCATATGCCGCAGATGCCTCATCTTTTTCCAGCGGTAAGATGACCTCATGCCACAGGAGACTGGTTACTGCAGACCAGCCATGGAGCCGGGAGGAGGCAACAGCGTCCACCTTTGCATCCACCATGAAAGTGAAGGTGCAGCGAGAGATGGGGAATGCAGACAGGCTGTCATGGGACATTTCATCCTCTGCTGAGTGCGTGGTTAAATCAACGTGCTGGCTGGGCTTTGCTTAGTGAGGGCTGTGCCATAGTGAGCCGTGGGGACAGACCATGAGGATACTTCCCTGAAAGCCTCATGAGATGTCATCTCCTTCCTGTCCAGGTCTCCACGCCTTAACCCCGGCCTGGGCTTCATTTATGGCGGAAGCTACGGGCAGAAGGACCTGCAGTCCTACCTGCTCCCCACTCACTGGAGGGCATTTCCACACCAGACCAGATCAGGGGTCTGTTTTGCACTGAAGTTTCTGCTGGCAGTGCAGTACATGGTGCCCTGGGAAGTATCTCGGCCATGAACTGCTCTGTGATCACTCATCCAGAGGTCAAGACTCTTCCCAACCTCTCTCGGCTACTTCTTCCTCCCTTCCCTGAAGCAAGATCTGAGGGGTCATAGCCATCGGCATTTCCATCCTAACATATATAGGGGCTGTATCCAGTCCTTGTCCCTAGCGGAGGAAGGAGGTGACTTGTCATGATGGCAATGCCTCCAAAGAGGGTGCAGCAAAAATGACTCGCGTTGCAGCCACCCTGAGCTGGCACCTGATAATTGGAGCAAATTAAAGCCTGTTGGGATGGTGCTAGTTTAGGCAAGACCCGGACTAGTCACCCCGAAATCCTCCAAGGGTTAGGAGGAGTGCAGAGGTGAGGTTACATCACCTTTTCCCTCCCCCTGTACCTGCACCAAGCTCACACTGGCATTTCCCAAGGTCTTGGCTCAATATCCTTCACCATCTGGGTGCTCATCGTACCTCTCAAGATTTGCAGCCCAAACACAAGCCCGGCAGGATGCGTTCGGGGGATAACTCATGCAGGGTGACCCTGCTTGCAGTGCCGGGGGCTCAAAGCCGCAGGTTTAGGTCACTACAGGACCAACGTGCCTGGCACCTCTTGCAATAACAAGTGCATTCCTCTCTGTGAGCTGGGACTCGCTGGAGCCATGCTGCAAGTGCTTTTGCACTTGGAGACCCGCCCGACTCTGTGAAACCTTGCAGGGACAGTGCCACCGTCCCCATCTCCTGTGCCATGCAGGAGAAAGCTGCCCTGCTTGGCATGCAGGCGCGGGGCTGCTCAGATAAAGGCAGAGCTGACACAAAATTGGAAGTGACCCAAAGCCAGCCTTTCCTACATTTAACAAGTATGACAAATGAGTTACCATCATCCCTTCCCCTGACGGACCGTCTTATCTGCAGGAAAATGGATGCTGGTTTAATGAACCAGGGGGAATATTGAACTGACTGTGCAGCATTTTTGCATGCATAAACCATCAGGGGTGGAGAGGGTGGGCTATTATTAGTAACCATCACATTTATTATTTGTTGCCCACATAGTAGGAGGTGTGAACGCTGAAATCACTGTGCTGCAGCAGGTCAGAGGTCCACCCAGACCTGCCTCGGACAAGAGCAGGGTAGCGGAAGAGGATACAGTAAACCCGTGGCTGGAGGACGGGATGATCGACCCCAGGCAGATGCCCAGCTCCACCACAGCCCTTGCCTCGGCTCCACCTGCGGCCCTGGTCTGGGAACAGCAAAGCCCCTGCGCTCTCCCCTCCTCTCTCTTAGTGCTCGCCCATCCATTTTAATGGAGCCTCTCCAAACTCACCGCAGTAGGAAAGCACCCCCCAAATGGGGAAAATGAGGGGGGGACATAGATTTCCAAGCTTGCTTAGGAAAAAAAGGTCATTTATTCATGCAGAGGTCTTCCAAACGCAGCAGTATCAAGGTGCTTAGCATTCATTTCATCTTGCCAGTGTTGGGGAACCCCCAATTGAGACAGCAAAACTGCATCCCCATACACTGGCAAGCAGGTACATCCCAGATTGCACCGACTGTGCTGTTAAGCAAAAGAAATAATTTTTTTTCATTTTGAGGGAACAAGGGAAAGAAAAGCAGCAGCCAAATAAGACAGGTCCTCTAATTGCTTTTTTTTTTAAATTTTGCAAGAAAATTCTGGAAGTTCAGGTTCTGCCAAGGCTGACACCCGATGCAGCAGAAGGCAGGCTTTCAAGGGTTGCTTCTCTGCCTTTTCACTTCTGCCACTCACAACGTCGCGCCACGCTCTCCAAATCGCACCTTTTTTTGGCTGCGAAGCCACAGACTCTATTGCATTCAGCAGCAGGAAGGAAAACCGAGAGGAGGGGGTGGAAGAGAGGAGCAGCCGAACGCTGCTTGAGTAGCATCTTTTGAGACAGGAAAGAACTGACGGCCACATTGCCATGTAGAGATTTAATTGTATTCCTTCAGGAAACTGAGCTTGACAGCTGATGAGGATTTCTTTTTGCTCTTTCTTTGGCTCGAGGGGAGAAACGGGGAAGGGGGTGAGTGATTCTTCCCTTTTAGTCGACATTGTGAGATTGTACCTAAAATACTGCTGCTGGTTTTGAGCCCCTGGTACATGAAAGGCGTTTGGGGTGAGCGTAGGGAAAGGCCACCGAGGCTGGTGAGGAGCACGCTTGCCCAGGGAGGAGATGCTTCGGGAACGGGGCTCGTTCAGCCCGGCGATGAAATGGCTTCGGGAGGACACTCACGGCAGCCCCAGCACCTAGGAGGAGGTCACGGAGGGAGGGAGTGGGATAACCGAGCCGAGCTGGAGCTGCCCTGCGAGGAGCCGTGCTGCGGGAGGCAGGCAGAGGGCCCCCTTACACCGCGCCACCGCAGCCGGCAGCTCGCCGCCGCGCCGCCCGTCTCCGCGGCCTCCAGAGCAGGCCAGGAGGCTTCGGGCCCCTTGCCTCTTGCAGGGAGCGGGGATCCAGCCGGGACTCCCCCCCCCGCCCCACCGCCGGGGAGATGTGAGCCCCCGCGCAGGGCGAGCGCTGGCTTGTGCAAGAAGCAGTTGTGGGGTGAGGGTGGCTCCTGCACCCTAAAACCAGCCAGGAGCGGGTAGGGGCGAGGTGACAACCCCAGCCCCTCCGCAGGGACGTGCCCCTTCGTGTCATCTGGGACGCGTGCGTCACGCAAGGGCCCGGGCGCCGTTACACATTTACCCTCCACGCTGGCAGGGAGGGGTGGCTGGGGGCCAAGCAGCACCAGGGGCGGGTGTTGAGCCTGCATCTGAGCAAACCCCGCCACACTTACACAAGCCTCCGCGCTCACCCACGGCTCTGCCCGGGCTGCCACACAGGGCTCAGTGATGCCACCCCTGTGCAAATGCCGCAGAGCCAGTTTGCAGGCAGTGGCACATCAAATCCCAGCTGGGGTGAACTGGTTTGGGTTTGCTGCCAGCAGCAAACGCGACCCCACAGCTCTCCTGCGTCTAGGGGTTGGTGGTAATAAACAGGGCAAGCTGGAGCTAATTCAGGTAACGACCTCCTGGCCTGGTGCCAGCACCCGCTGGTTCCCACACCAGGGGTGAGCTGTAAGGCATGCAGGCAAAGCATGGTGAGTCAGGGCTGGAGGAGCCCTCAGCCTGGATACCCAAATTAACAGTCAGAGAGAGATGCAAATGGCACCCTCTATCCTGCGCAGTGTGGAAGCCACCAGCAAAACCCGACACTGAGCTGTAGCATCACAACCTTGCTTCCAGGCGCTCCGTGGGCCAGGAGGCAGAGTCACGGTGCCAGCAAGTAGTAGCTCTGGCCTCTCTTCCCAGCCATGTGCTGATGTCCTGAGTGACCTTAGCAAGTCTCTTCACCTCTA